GCTCAGAGCAATCTTGACCAGCGTGGGAGAACAGACCCAAACTAGCACTCTCCAGGACCACCCGGCTTATCTGTGAACACCATGGACTCCTGGGCCTCCCCTCCGGAGATTCCAATCAGTAGCTGTCAGGGACCCCTCGAATCTGCTGTTTAAACAGACACCCCAGATATTTCTGATGAGGGTGATTCCTGGGCTGGACTCTGATAGTTACCATCAGAGGTGAAGCCACTGGGTTCAGGGGGCTTCTGATCTCCCACTTCCCCGTGGGGTCATCCGCAGGACTCAGATGCCTAGGAGGGGTCAGTGAGGGTTGGGGAGATTCTGGTGGCTGGTGTATGTTGGCATCCCAAGCCCTAACTCACTGTGAAAATTCTCTGTCCAGCTATGTGAGCCATCTTCCTTATCCCTGGGAAGGGAGGGCAAGTCCGTGAAGATGGGAATTTAGCTGTCCCCACACTGGGATCAGAAGTCCCTGAGCAGAGCGCCTTGTAAAATATGGATTTTTCCACCTCTTATGGTTCCCACACCCCCCCCACAAGCAGACACACGCACTACCACCACTCCACACTGGCCCCACTAGATGTCTCAGAGAGAAAAGCCAGGTCTGACCGGCCCCTCCTGTGTGGGTACCAAGGAACCAGGCCACCCCTTTACTCCTGAGAAGCACCTGCCTTCTTAACCACGGCCCGCGTGGGTCCACCAGGACTGTACGATTAGCCATGAGGAAACCAAGGCTCAGAGGCAACTTGTCTTGCTCAGGTTGGGGTGGCCGCAGAGGAGGAACCCTAGCTCCTTTGGAGCTCCTTTGAGCGAAAGCTGCCTGCTGGCGGGTGGCTGGAAGGCCTGGAACCAGGCCCTTGTGGCCACCAACCCCCTCCAGCCCCAAAGAGAAAAGAGAACAGACAGAGCACACCTCTGTGACCCAGGCGCCTTCCCATCAGAAGCCCACACCCCAGGCGCCTTCCTGCCGGGCGACTGGCTCTGCTGGCCTGAACGGGCCCTGGGGGTTAGCTCCAGGAGGCGAAGTCCCGCTTCCTTGGGGCTGAGGGGCCCGGAGGTCCCGCCCAGGCGCTTCTGCTGCCCGGGGCTACAACGGGAAAGCCGCTGAGGCTGAGTGCGTCCAAGGCGTCGGCCCCGCACGGAGAACTGCGGCGTCCGCGGATGTGTAATCCACACGCAGAAACCCTGCTTCAAGCATCTCCTACCCCTGCTCCGGGCTTTATTACAGAGGGGATTTCATGTCAAGGGGCATCTTGACTTGCCTGTTCCAGCGCAAAATCCTTAAAATAGATGAAGAAATTGTGAATTAATTCTACGTTATTCCAGGACAAAAACCCCTAAGATAATACGGAGAGATTATGAATTAATTCTACCTAGGACGCCTCTGTGCTAGCGGATCCTAGGGGTCCTTTACGCACGCAGGGCGCATAATTTCGCACCAGCCTCAGGAGCCGTTCGCGATTTAAGCTTGTGACTTGCACATGCTGGGCGCGCTTTTGTGGCGTCGCGCAGCGGTGGGAGCTTCACCCGCGACCCCTGTGCCAGCCCAGGACGCAATGGACTCCGAGGAGGACACAGTCCAGCCGAGCTCAGTCTCCGCGCTGCAGCAGCGGCGGCGCGAAATCTCGGACGCGGCTGTGGAGGCAGTTTCGCCTGCGTTATCTGGCCCTTCCGGGCTTGCCTGGAGCCAGGATCTCCTTGCGGGAAGGCTGGACTTTCCCTCTCATTCCCAGGCCGCAAGTCAGGCCGGAAGACCGAGGCCGGTCACCGTCCCCGGGCAATCCGTACCGGTTTTCCTACACAAGCCCCTCTGCGTGCCTCCCGCCCCGCTAGACCTCGACATGGGTGTGCTGGGAGATCCCGCTGAAGCGAAGGCAAGGAGATGAACAGGCAACCAGGCTTTGCTACCGCCCTGGACCCTCGTCCAGCGGCGCCAAAGCCACGCAAAACCACCGCACACAGGGGCCTCTGGCCCGCCAGGGCGCCAAGTGAGTGGGTGCAGGGGCTGGAGACTCCGCAGAAGAAAACCTGGGAGCTCGCAGTTGGGTTTCTCCTAATCAGCCCCTCTTCCCCGGAGCCTCTGCCCTAACTGGGCCGCAGCCTCTGCGGGAGAGAGGAGGGGCTCCCAGCTCCTCTAGCCTGCAGAGGCTGACCGGACGCGAGCGCAGCGTTGCCGCGCTAGGAGGCCTGGGGACTCTTCTCAATACTGGTTTTCCGGGCTCTGGTGGGAGGCGGAGGGTGCAGAGAAGACCTCCGCCCCAGGAGGACCGCCTTCTCCGCCTGCTGCGAACCTGCCCTCGGAGCGCAGGGCCAGGCGCGTGCGCCCGGCAGAGCCTGACCTGACGCTTCGGCCCGCCCGGAGACCCTAAGGATGGAGTCGCTGGCCTTTTCTTGTCCCCTTTATCTCGATTTTATAGACAGCTGTTAGTTTGGGACATTAATTGCCCAGGCGAGTTTATTGATAATTTTGATGTAACAGAGCACCGGAGAAATTACCCCCACGTCCAAAATGTCAACTCTGAGAAGAACCAGGTTCAGAGACTCACGACCCCACGACGCAAGACACTGCGGTGGGTCTGGAAGGGCCGCACCAACAATGTGACTTACTGTGTTTGTTTTCCTCCCTAGCCGGGAATTGGAATAGCAAGAGAGTGGTCAGTGGAAGATACAAGCGTCAAAAAATATTTTTTCCCCAGAGGCGATGAACTGTGACTTAGGAGATAAACGTTACAGGATGGGAAAGGTACCTGTCA